GTGACAAAAGAAAGGTGGAATGATCGGAGCTTGGACCCAGGCACTAATAGCACCTATGTATTCTTTTTATAGTATTTTAGCTCATTGATAACAAAATGGTTAAAAAGTGAAGCTACCAGCTGTTGGACTCCTTCCCTGCTACGGCAGCACCCCACCCTGGGTGAGTGCCACATCCAGTCCAGCCCTGATCATTCCTCAAGGTATCCCGTGTTCCTCCATGGGACAGTGTCCCAGGGTCTCCCTGGCCCCTTCAGCTGAATTTACATTAAAAGTTAATTTGAGACCATGTTTGATGCTGTTTGCCCTGAGTGCCAAAACTGCCATTATGGGTCTGGCCTGGACCCCACCTGTTCCCATTTGCTATAATGAGAAGAAAAGGGACTAAGCCAGCCTTCTCAAGGGCTATGGTTGGCCTGGACAGAGCATGGCTGAAGGCCCTATGGCACTCTGAGCATTTTGTTGTTGTTGTTTTTTTTTCCAAGTCATCAGGACCAAGGACAGGGCTCAAGCCTGCCTGCCACATTTCTGGGCTGTGTCTGACCTGCCCTAGGCTTCATTCAGTCTGCAGCTTGTGGGAAGGCCAGGTGGGGTGCTGGAGACCCACCTCCCCCTTCCATTCTGGGAGCCTTTAATTGCTGCCTTTCCTTCTCCAGCACGCTCATATGGGTCATTAGAGAGATGTTTGGTTTATTTCTAGCTGCAGCAGAAGCTGAGCTGTCTGTCCTCCCCCAGCCCCCCTCATTGCCACCAAGCAGAACTGCCTGGCCCTGCACCCAACCCAGCTTTCAACCTGGATCCCCAGGGGCCTTGCTCCTTTCCCTGAATGGATGTATTGGAGTGGCAGGTAGGACGGGGAGGCAGAACCGACGCTCAGAGCTGAGAACACGAGTTTATTTGCAGGCTGGCTCAATGTGAACAGGAGCAGTGGACCTCTAACCTCCCCACCCCCTCCCAGAAAACCTGGAGAGGCCCCACTGTCCCGAGAAGGGAGACCACACCCAGGAAATCACATTTTCCTCCCTCCCCCACTCCCCTACCAGAGGGCTGCAGTTACACATGGACACTAGACAGGCTGGACACATGGACACAGTGCAAAGCAGGAGTAGGGGTAAACCCCAATACCAAGGTTACTGATGGGCAGGCATTGCCCTTTGAGGGAGCAAGGGTGGGGAAGGAAAGGAGCTGTCCTTGTTCACACTCCCCGTTAACAACAGCCCTGGAGGGCAGGCAGTCCCATTTCACAGATGGGAAAGCTGAGGCACAGAACCTCTAAGAAAGAGTTAGGGAGAAAGGGGAATCCTCTCTTGGGCTGAATCATCCTCCCAAACCAACCCAAATATACCATCCCCTCATAAATAAATACCCCACCCCCAATATTTACACAGCAGTATTGCCTTCAAACTATCCAGGGAAGAAAACAAAGGTAATTTCCAATAACAAACGTTACACAAGTACATGACACAGCCACTTCTGTGGCAGCAGAGCAGTCAGCAAGGAAGAGGTAGGGAGTGAATCTCTAGGTAAGGAGGAGGCTGAAATCTTCCGCCTTCCTCCCCTCTCCCTCAATGGAGGAAAGAGAGAGTCAATCAACAGTGACTTACAACCTGGGGACCACTCCCTCCTGAGCCTCGACGCTTAGACCAAGCAGCTGTAGGGGACACTTGGCAGCAGAGGGTAGGCCAAAAGCTTCCCCCCCACTCACCCAGGGTTGGGGCCAGGGACCGTGTTTGTCTAAGATGCTGAGGGACTCCGGGGAAGCAGCCAGAATCTTCATGGCTCCCCTGCCCGCATATACTGCCTTCCCAAAGATAAGAGAATTACTTTCTGAGACATTTTCCTTCCACGCCTCTACAACCTACAGCCTCCTGGGTCCCTCTTTGGCCTGGAAGCAACTGCTGGGAAAGTGAACAGCCCCGGCTAACTCATATTCCTGGCACTTAAGGGTCCAGGTGACTTCTCAGACAATTCCCATATCCCAACGGTCCAGGCCCTACTGAATCACAGATGTTTTGAGCCTGCTAGCTGAGCCTCAGAACGGAGCCCTTACGCCTAGCCGGTGGCAGCACTAGCCACAGCCGGGGAGTTATTTAAAGCTACTCCTGACCAGTAGTGGTGTGGGAATTGGCTCTTCCCCTGAATCCACAGACTGGGCTTTTCCTTCTGTCTGTTCTCTGGATCTCCAGTCACCTCTGTGCTGTCCAGATGATTAGTTGGCCTTGCCCCAGGAGAGCTGCGGGCTCCCTTCCTAGGAACCAGCCCCCAATCCCTAGCTGGGAAATACCAGTAACAAGATACTCACAGCAAGGGAAAAACACAAAGCTACAGAGGATGTAGCCATCCGCCTCTTCAACAGGCCCTCAAACCTCTGGGGAAAATTTATCCAGAAGCAACTTTAGTCCAGAAAGCAGTCGATCATCACACTTCCTAGTGGTGGGGGAAGGGGAAAGCAGGAATAGGGATGGAAGGTAGATGACCACAGTGTAGTTGGTATGTGTTTGGGGGAACAGGACGACAAAGGAGTGCTAACAACCCTATCAGGCAAGATCTGATTGGGAAAAAGGGAGGAGGGGAAGAAGGAAGGACATGCAGCAACCAGACACACACACACACATCCACACACACACACACACACACACACACACACACACACACCACGGAGCATAACCTGTCAGTCCCAGGAAGCCAAAGCCAGCTAGATCATAGATCTATAGACTCAGAGATGGAAGGGACTTTTGTAGGTCAGCCACCCTAATTCTTCTCAGTGTATAGATAAGGAATGGAATCCCCAAGATAGGAAGTGACTTGCCCCAAAGTCACATGGCAAGTGGCAGGCCAGGGATTTGAACCCAGATTCTACAGCTCCAAATCCACTGTGCTTTCCACTAGTCTAGCCAAAAGCAAAGGCCATCAAGGTTAACTGGCTCCTAACACAAGTGAACACAGCTCCTAGCGTGGATGGACGCAGCTCCTGACATGGACAAATGGGCGGGTCTCCACGGGGTAAACTTTCCACCCTAAGGCACAAGATAGTAGGTATTGGAGTGATGCAGCTAAGAGCCCAAGCTCGCTACAGGCTGGGTGTGGATGAGGGAGGTTAGGGCAAAGGCTGGGCTGAATCACCTCCTATAGCGCCCCCTAGGACAAGGCTGGCATTAAATAAGTCACTAGACTCATCGCAGAGGCTGCAATGGGGCTTGTGGTTCAGATGAGGAGCTAGAAAAAAGTCTCCTCTTCCCTTCCCACACCCTTGGCAAAAAAGTCCTCCAGTCCACCTTCCCACCGGTCAGGCCTGCTTTCCCTCCAGCAAACAAGATGTAGGTCCACACATGCCCTTGGTGGGAGCCCTTCCTTCCTGTACTGTGGTTCTTGGGCTCAATCTTTTATAATGGGCACAGGCAATGACCAGCTGGGTGAGTTGTGAGGCAACTTTCTGCTCAAAACCCTTCTCCCCAAGGTCCAACAGAGGGGAGGAAACATCTGCCCTTCTCACTCCTGGAACACCCATAAACCAACCTCTCAGCTGCTCCCTATTATCCCTGGGAAGCAATCTGAGGTGCAGGGAGCCAATCCTGGCCCAGAGATGGTGAACTTTGGGGAGTCTCTCAACAGGCCTTCAGACCTCTAGGGAAAATTGACCCAGAAGCAGACTGAGCACAGAAGGCAGGAGGGGAAGCCTTTCCTTATAAAATGCACTCGAGCTACCTGACCCCACCTTCTAGGCAATGGTTTGTTTTGTTTTGTTTTTTTCTTTTCTCTCCCCTACAGGTGGCACAGCTTTAATTTTTAAAATTCAAACGGATTTGGGTTTGTAATTCTCAAAGGCCAACCAACAGCAGCCTCCCCAGGTATTGCCCAGCCAGATGTGTGGGAGTCTGTGGATTAGGTGATGCAAAGAGCTTCAGAGAACTGACCATTTGAGAAGTGAAAAGTGGGAGTGGGCAGGGATTCAAAGCAGCTCAGAAGGGGTAGATCTAAAGCGTTGGTGAGGAGAGAGGAGGAGATGGCCTCAGAGGGAATTAACTTGTCTCTAGAGCCGAATCTGGAAGGCTGTGTGCTGGTGCTGACCAGCCTAAGACCCCGGGGTCCCTGCTCACACATTTGAGGGTAAACTCAGCCTCCTTATTTGGCTTCTAACTTTGCAAAATACCAGGGAGGCACAGTGGGCCCTCCTCCTCTTTCCCTCTAAGGGACAGGTTCCTCTCTATTCCAAATACTGCCCTGGAAGCTGCAGTCCAGGCTTGAAATGTAGTTAGTCAAAATCACTGAACGCTGATTGGAAAGGAAGGGCCAGTGGGGAAAGGATTGGTGTTTTCAAAGTTCCCTGAACCCCAGCTGAGATGGCCCCGTGCCCTGGTCCATTCACCCGGTGTCACCTGGGGATAGGGGGAAGGGGCGGGTCTTGCCTCTTCAGACTTCCCATGTAGCCCGTCCGGGTCCCAGGGCAGTCTGCACCCCACCTTCCAATGCACTGGCCCCAGTTCTGGGGACTGGAGTGGACAGAGCTGGGTCAGAGACCTGAGGCAGGGTAGGGGTGTGTGTGTGTGTGTGTGTGTGTGTGTGTGTGTGTGTGTGTGTGTG